GTCCTTGGCTGAGGAGTGGGCTGCACCTGCTCAGGATGAGGCCACCTGGACTTAACAGGAAGCAAGCTGCCATAGAAACTCTGGCCCAGCCTGCATGGAGAGACCTCATTCTAACCTCACTGATGTCCCTCATGAATGCTTTGGTACCTGGCTCCAAACCCGTCTCAGCCCACAGGCTTGGTATGCAGCTGAGACACCAGGACCCACGCCCTGGGAACTGGGATGGTGTCCTAGAGCAAATTCTCTAGGCACTTCCTGTCTTGGTTATCTGTTGCTGAAAATGGATTATCCTCAGTTCTTCCCCATGTGTGCCTCTCTATCTGAGTGTCCTCGTGACCTGGCAGCTGGCTGTTCCCAGAGTGGAAATCCAAAAGGGACCAGGGAGCCTGTAATCCCAGCATTTTGGGAGGCCGAGGTAGGTGAATTGCTTGAGCCCTAGAGTTCAAGACCAGCCTGGGCAATGTGGCGAGACCCCATCTCTACAAAAAATACATAAATTAAGCAGGCATGGTGGCCGTGTGCCTATAGTCCTAGGTACCCTAGAGGCTAAGGTGGGAGGATCCCTTGAGCCCGGGAGGTGGAGGCTGCAGTGAACTGCGATTTTGCACCACTGCACTCCAGCCTGGGCAACCGAGCGAGACCCTATCTTAAAAAAAAGTGGGTTCCATTGATTCTAATAAAAAAATTAAAAAAAAAAAAACAACAAATTTAGGTCAACATGGTGCCTCTTGCCTAATCCCAGCATTTCTTTGGGAAGCTGAGGCAGGATGCTCACTTGAGGCCAGGAATTAAAGACCACCCTGGGCAACATAGTGAGACCCTGTCTCTACAAAAAGTTAAATAACTAGCCAGGCATGGTGGCACATGCTTGTGGTCCCAACTACTCAAGGAGGCTGAGGCAGGAAGATTGCTTGAGCCCAGAGGTCAAGGCTGTGGTGAGCCGTGATCATACCACTGCACCCCAGACTGGGCAACAGAATAAGGCCCTGTTTCAAAAAAAAAAAAAAATACAAATGCACAGCCCTCCCAGGTCCCAACCCAAAGCCACCACTTTTTTTTTTTTTTTTTGAGATGGAGTCTAGCTATGTCTCAAAAAATGTAATGTAGTATAGCGTACATGTACACTGGAGTGTACTGGCACGATCTCACTGCAACCTCCATCTCCCAGGTTCAAGCAATTCTCCTGCCTCAGCCTCCCAAGCAGCTGGGATTACAGGCACGCACCACCCCGCCCAGCTATTTTTTTGTATTTTTAGTAGAGACGGGGTTTCACCATGTTGGCCAGGATGGTCTCAATCTCCTGATCTCGTGATCGGCCCACCTCAGCCTCCCAAAGTGCTGGGATTACAGGTATGAGCCACCGTGCTTGGCCCAAAGTCACCACTTTTATGTGCAGGTGGTTCCTCAGTGGGGTGAGAGGAAGCTGGAGGCTGGAGGCTGACCTCCGCTTCTGCTGCATGTACCTGGCGAAAGTTTCTCCCAGCTGCAGGAAGGTGACCTGGTATCCAAGGTTTTTCTCCCGTGCTGTCACCCTTGCCCCTGCCATCACCAGTAAGTGCAAGCACCCTTGGTGTGTGGAGCATCCCGCTCTCGTCAGCTTACTTGCTCTGGTACCTGGCTCCAAACCCCTCTCAGCCCGCAGGCCAGTGATCCTGCTATCTTCTGCTGTCTCCCACTGCCCCCTCCTGTTTTTCCCTTTCCCTCTCCTCAGTTTACATTCCTGGGACAAGCCTCATAGTCTCTTGCAAACATCCTTGACTCTCTTCTTTCATCATACTTCCCAGCAAACCCCCAATCTGGGCAAATGCAACTCTGGCTGCTTTGCACCAGAGCATGGGTCAAGTACAGCACACAGCCCTTCTAAGTCTTTCTCTAGTTCACTAACTGGTTCCCTAACCTCCCTGACTAGATCCCTAACTTCCTCCCTAACTAGATCCCTAGCCCCCTTCCCTAACTAGATCCCTAAACCCAACTAGGTCCCAATCCCAACTAGATCCCTAACCTCCCTGACTAGTCCCTAACCCCCTGGCTAACAAGATCCCTAACCCCCTCCCTGACTGGGTCCCTAACCCCCTCCCTAACTACATCCGTAACCTCCCTAATGCGGCCGTGTGCTACCTGGACTTCCTGCCCTGTTTCTCTACTCTGTCACTTGTATACACACGAGTGACTATGGAAGGTTATGTGTGATTTGTGAGGCACATAGGGAGAAGGAAAAGGAAGTTTCCCAAACCAAAAAAAAAAGAGACAGCGAGAGAGAAAGGCTAAAAACAGTGCTTGCTATTACACCCTGCGCCATGGTTCTGTGACCTTGTTCTGCTGCATATGGATGGAGATGCGGGACTGGAAGGCCTCATTCCAGCCTTAAGAGTACACAGTCAGCTGGCTGGATGCCAGATTTCTACTTATTTCTTTTGACCTAGTTTGTTTTGTTTTGTTTTTTTTTTTTTTTTGAGACAGAATCTCACTCTGTCACCAGGCTGAAGTGCAGTGACGCAATCTCGGCTCACTGTAACCTCCGACTCCCTGGTTAAAGCAATTCTCCTGCCTCAGCCTCCCCAGTAGCTGGGATTACAGGGATGCACCCTAATAATCCCCAGCTAATTTTTGTATGTTTAGTAGAGACAGGGTTTCACCATGTTGGCCAGGATGGGCGCGATCTCCTGATCACGTGATCAGCCTGCCTCGGCCTCCCAAAGTGCTGGGATTACAGGTGTGAGTCACTGCGCCTGACCACGGCTATTTTAATTGTTGAAAATTAATTTATCTAAGATCCCACCCTGCCTGGGCTGCACAAGCATGGCAGACAGCACCTGCCTGTGTCAGTCCTGCTATTGTCTCTCCACTGCCAGGCTTTCCTTGTCCTGGTCCAGGGATGGTGGTTCATCCCAACTGCAGGCAAGGGTGTGTTCCACATTTCCTCACACCTGGCACTTTGGGCAGGGTGGAGGCTGCGGGGAGGGCTTCCCCCCTCGTCCAGTGTCCTTCAAAGTCCTGTAAACAGACACTAGCACAGATGGGGCAGTCACCACTTCCTGCTTGGCCTTGTCAGGACACCTGGGACCCCACGGCATCCACAGGAGGAGCCCTGTTTCTCCCCTCCCTGGGGTCTCCCTCCCTAGCTAGCATCGGGCAGGGTCATCTGGTGCTCAGGACCAATGTCCCGACCAGGACTAGGACAGTGTCCTACAGCTGAGCCATAAAAAGTCCAGTTCTTTCTGAGCCTGACCAACTGTCCACTCCAGCTCAGGCCCGACCCTGGGTGGGGAGACAAGGACTATCCTTCTGTATCCCCCTTTTGTCTCCTGAGGGATGTGTGGAAACGGGGCCCCTTCATGTCTGCTGGCAGCACAGGCCTAGGTTCAGGCCTAGTTGTGCTTAAACTCAGCCTGCATTTGATGTCTGCAGTGCCCACTGACCAGTGTGGACACAGGGACTTACAAACGGCTTCAGAGTGCCCTGCACTAAACAATGTCCCCTTCTCCCACCTGAGATGGGGAATCCAAGCGCATCCAGGCCCAGTACCTGGCAGTTCCTGTTTGGGAAAACCACCCAGGCAAGCAGGCTAAACCCAAGTTTTCCTGATAGGTGAGGACCGACTGCACGGACAGCAGGGGCGGAGGGGACCCTGGGGAGGGAGCCTCCTAGGGAGATGTGCCATTCAACCAGCCTCTCAAGACTGGGGAGCTGGCTGGCATCTGGCGTTTCACACCCCATGTGCTCCAGGGAACAGAGATGCTGAGTGTGCACTACAAAACCCTCCCCAGGCAGTGTCCTGAGGTGCCGCGGAGAAGCAGAAGGAGGCAGGTTACATCCCTGAACAAGACAGAGGGCAGGGCAAATGCCGTGCTGGGGATCTCCTAGCTGGAGATCTCGACCAGCTGGGCCCCCAGCGCCGCAGGTCCCCATATTTCTCACTGTCTGCTTTCTCTGCCCCAACTCAGGGATCCTCATCTTAGGGAAGGAAGGGGAAGGGGGGGCTCAGAGGTCACGGTCTGCTAGGAGGCTGCACGGTCTCTCTTCCCTGGACTAGTCAGGTTGGCTATTAAAATGGGCTGCGGGGAGGCTCTTGGGAGACAGCGCATGAGCGGTCCGCGAGCCCAGCCCAGCTCTGGCGGGAATTCTGGAGACTCCGAGCCAGGTCCTTGGTGTCCTGGCCTTCGGCTGTTCCTTCTTGGACTGGCAGGTGGAGCGGACGGGGTTTGGCCCAGGTTAGGAAACCTAGCGCCTTTGCGGCGCCCGGGACCCCAGGGGCTGCTTAGGCCAGAGCGAAACGAGGGGTCCCCCCGCGCCCACGCAGGACCCACGTCCATCCCTCCCGCTCAGACGGGAGGACGCGGTGTGCCGGGGTTGGCGGTGGTGTACTGGCTGCGCCGCCGCCCAGCCTAGTGCCCTCGCCTCCAGGGGCCGACATGGCCCTGTCCTTCGGGGCGGGACCCTGCGCTCCCGTCCCCCTAGTGGTGGCCGGGGACCCCCGACGCCGAGCAGCGCCGTATCTGGGGAGGGCTGCCTGGTACGCAGGGAAGAGGCACTCAGGGCTGCGCGCGCCGGAGTGCAAACCGCCGAAAGTAGAGCCACAGAGCAGGGGAGACCGGCGAGGGACCGCGGCCGAGGGCGACAAGGGCGCCTCTCCATCCCCAGCGTCCCCTGACTTGCCCTTGGAGCCCCAAGCTCTCAGGAGCCGTTTTCTACTCGTGGGTGCAGGACTTAGTCCCAGAAAAGTTCCGGACACACCCGGTGTTGCCGCCGCCCGGAGACGAAAAGACAATACCCGCGCAAGCGCGGCCGACTCCCTCAGCTCCTGCGCCGCCACGCTGCAAACGGTGGCGTCCACGGTACGACGGGAACCAGAATACAGCGAGCCCCGGAAGCCCACTGCTCCGGTGCCGGTGCACGCCGGGAGCGGTAGTCCGCGCCTCAGGGTAGTCCGCCGCCCCGGTGCACGCCGGGATCGGTAGTCCGCGCCCCAGAGTGCAGGCTGTCCCGGTGCACGCCGGAACCGGTAGTCCGCGGTGGTGCGGTCCGCCCCTCACCTGGCCGGCGGCGGGCGCTGAGGGGCCCAATGGGAGCTGCGGCCTGGCCGCCCCGCCCTGCGCCTCTGGACGTCTGTGCTGGGACAAGGCCGCCGCCGGTGCCGGGTCCTTGAGCTGAGCGCCGCCAGTCCGAGGCCAGCCGCCGCCGTCAGCCGTCCGCACGGGCCGGGCCTGAGGCGCCGCCGGGACGGCATAGATACGCGGCAGCCGCGGAGAAGGAGAAGGAGGCAGCTCGGGAGGCCTGAGCGGCCGCCGCGCCCGGGCACATGGCGTCCATCTTACTGAGGAGCTGCCGCGGCCGGGCGCCTGCCCGCCTCCCTCCGCCGTCTCGGGTCACCGCCCCGCGGGGTAAGCGGCGGGCGCCCCAGGGCGGGGCCGGCTCCGGGCTGGTGGGTCGGGAGCGCGGACGACCCTCGGGTTCGGGCTGGTTGTCGCCTGATGCGGGGTCCCGGCGGTCCCGGCCTCCGGAGCCCCTGTGGGCCGGTGGGGCCCCGAATCTCGTCGCGGGCTGGACCGCCAGCGCCGGGCGGAGCCGCTGGGCCTCTGCCTGATGCTGTGACCTTAAGCGGCCGGGTCCCCGCGGGTCACTGCCTCCGAGACAGGCTTGGGAAAGTTCTGAAGGGCTGGGCAGCCCCGGCGCGTCCTGCGCGAGTAAGCTCCGTGGAACGTGTCGTCCACGCACGAGATCGGCCGTGCCCTTAAGTCACGTTTGGGGTCCCGGAGACGAGACTGGATGGGCCGGGCAGACACCGGCGAGCAGGACCTGCTGGGCCGCGGGAGCCTTCCTGGTCCGTCACCCATGAGGTGATGCCAGCACCCACAGACCCCCGTGGTGTGATTAGGCCACGACCTGCACCCGGGGACACGCGGACTCCGGAGCCCTGAGGGTCCTCAGGGTGCGTGGCCTTAGCCACCCTAACCTAAGGTGCTGCCTGGAGTGAATGCTCTTCCAGGGTGTGCCCACCTCCTCCTCCTCTCTCATTAACCAACTTATCTGAGTTTATGTCCTTATTTGTAAAATTGGAAGAAACATAAAACTTGCTAAGGGGGACTCAAAGTAATTAGTGCAGTGGTGCGATCATACTCATTGTACCTCCAACCCCTGGGCTTAAGCTGTCCTTCTGCCTCAGCCTCCCAAGTTGTTAATTGTGCCACACAACACCCAGCTTATTTTTTTTTTTTTGTAATTTTTTTGTAGAGACAGGTCTCGATATGTTGCCCAGCCTGGTCTTGAACTCCAAGGCTCAAGTGATCCTCCTGCTTTGGCCTCCCGAAGTGCTGGGATTACAGGAGCCACCATGCCCAGACACCCAGCTTCAATTCTTGTCTCTTCCCCACCCCCAGAGAGAGAGATTGAAGTTGCCCTGAATGTATCCTCCCAATTCTTGTTTTTTTTTGGGTTTTTTTTGTTTGTTTGTTTTGTTTTTGGAGACAGTGTCTCGATCTGTTGCTCAGGCTAAAGTGCAGTGGTGTGATCTTGGCTTACAGCAACCCCCACCTCCTGGGTTCAAGTGATTCTCCTGCCTCAGCCTCCTGAGTTGCTGGAATTACAGGCACCCACCACCACGACTGGCTAATTTTTGTATTTTTAGCAGAGACGGTTTTCCCCGTGTTGGCCAGGCTGGTCTCGAACTCCTGACCTCAGGTGATCCACCCACCTCAGCCTCCCAAAGTGCTGGGATTACAGGCGTGAGCCACCTGGCCTGGCCCCTAATTCTTGTAATTTTTAACAATAATGGCTGGTTAGCCACTAAAACTTTTGGAGTGGTGGGAGGATGTTGGGTGGTGAAACTGCACAGTCTGAAGGTGGAGCTCAGCATTTGGTCTTTCCAGTTGCTGTGTTAGATGTTAGAGCTCTCTCTGGACCTCTTGATGGTGATAAAAGTACTTTTGCCACTTCATGCTTATGTAGCAGGTTTTCGGTAAATAATAATAATTAACTTTTTATGTGTGATTCTGTCATTTCAGGAAAACAAATGTTGTCTTTTTTTTTTTTTTTTTTTTGAGACGAGTCCTCGCTCTGTCGCCCAGCTGGGGTGCAGTGCGATCCTCAGCTCAACTGCAAGCTCCGCCTCCTGGGTTCCCACCATTCTCCTCCTGCCTCAGCCTCCCGACGTAGCTGGGACTACAGGGGGCGGAAAAAATCGCCACGGAGTTTATTTGAATTTTATAGACGACGGGGTTTCACACATGTTACGCCAGCAATGATCTCATCTCTGACCC